GGGATTGCGTACAGTTGATCATAGTCACGGTTCCTGGGCTCCCTGTGGTTATATCCGATATTCAAGTTATGTGAATTTGGTGATAAAGTATTTAAAAATGCGACGACACAGTCGAAATAGATCCGTTGTCTTTGTGTACGTGTCTTCCTCAAAACAAAGTTTAGAATGTACTGTAAATCTCATAGAGGTCCGCCACTGGAACATATCCATGATACCTACACACCAAGTATTAAAGATTTCGCCACAAAATAACCAACTCTCACAGAGGTTCACCCGGAAAAAATCAAAATAGCTTTTAAGGCCTCAGTAATAACATCTCTCGCATACTCCCAACGTCGTGTGAACCAAGCGTGTGTACGTACAATATGTCTGACTGTCACTATGGTAACACGAGCACTGAATGCTTTACGCGTGCAGTACGTCGGCCTACCCACTGACACAATTACGTAGCCGACTTAGTTAGCAGGTCCCTGACCCTGTCACTGCCCTGATACGACAGAGGCGACCAAAAGTCATTGGTTTCATAAAATAGTGTGAGGCGGACGCAGTATTCTAAAAATAGGGATACGCAAGAGAAGTGAAATCTTCGCCACGTCCGTATATTCGAATTCGTAAGATTACGTGGCATCGACGGACCAGGTATTTGTGTAACACGGCCTGGATAAACCTCAGGTAACTTTTTCAATGGTTTAAAAATAAACATGCCTCGGCACTGAAAACAGAAAGTGACGCAGGTTAAACGCCTATTTATTACCTGAATACAATCATACGTAAACTGAAACGTAATCAAGCTATCTCTTCTTGCAAACTAACCAACATTACATTTGTAACAATAACATGCTGCTAAGTAGTGCTCGTCTGCCTGCGATATATGACTGTTTCCCCGTGAATTGCTTCTATATAACTACTTTATCACAAACTTAGAAGATGGGTCGAAATAGAATACATCTTTTGTGCTATCGAATTCTAATCAGGCGTAAAGTATACTTATCAGTAGCGACACGAGATCAGTCACCCTAGAATACGATATTTCACATTATTTGTTTACAGACTGAACGAACCAATAGGATTAGGACAGGATCTACAGCCGTGCACTAATACATTACAATGGATGATACAAGTAATATCAAATTCACAGGCACACCATAATCACTAATTAAAAAAAAAAAACTAGTATTTTTATTTATATAAAACGAAAACTAATATCCCCAACTGAAAAAAGGCAAGCACATACACTTGTCGTGTAAATTACAACTTATTTTACATACCAGGAATGAAATCACTTATAATTATGTGTTACCGGTATTATCAATGGCGTGAATAATTTCTATGATTGAGGGTGATGAGTCCAAGTTTGCTCACCACTTGTATGGGTTGTCTATTAAAAGCACAATCAAAACTGTAATTTGTGCAATAGGATTACAATGTCATTGCAATTTCATTGAGTTAAATTAGATTGTAATCTTATATATGAATACAATTTTAATTACAGTTTAATTAGTTTGCATCTACATGTAGTTAAAATAATGTGAATTCAATGGAATACTTAAATTACCTAACATTATGATAAAGAGATACCTAAACCATAAACCTAATTGCCAAGAAAACAAATTTCTTTAAATTATATTAGCTTCCCAGTTGCAGTTTTGGTACTTTATATACAACAATGTATGCACAGATAAGTCAATCAAGTTCAATATTGTTACCGGTAAGTGTTGTTTTGTAGCTGCGATCACTAAGGTGATGAGGCTTTCACAGAAACAAAAATAGAAATTCATGATTACATTAAGGTAGAATCAAACAGAAAAGACAATGTAATCATTGAAACAGAAAAAGTTTACACTCTACGCAGCAGAATGATCACAGAGAGGTAAAGTATTTCAAATTTCAGCCCCTCTTAACTAAAATTTAATTTACGCTTTGAGCGCCAAAGTCAACTTCAGCGTCCTTCCACAAAATTGTTTTATGGTCTTTTTTCCACAAAATTGTTTTATAGTCTTTTTTCCACATGAAATGTTGAAAATTTGAATTAAAAGCATTTTGTATGTTTGGTACAAAATTAAGACTGCAGAAAACATTTGCCACGCAATAGCTTTATCGTAGCTATGACAACCCTAGAATAAGAATACCACACTAGATTACCGGCATCGTGTAAAGAAAAAATCTGTTTTTGACATATCAGTTTGAAACACTACTATTTAATCAAAAGAAGCTTATGAAGAACTCCTATGTGCTAAGGATATTTGAAGCATGAACCAAACAAAGGAGATATTTTAGATTAGTGTTGGACAGATGCAAGTGATCTGGAGTAACGAAATTGACAATACCAAGTAGGAATGTAATTACAAAAAGGGAAATAGGCATCTGTGATTTGTTGTGTGTATTGTACCCATATCATAATTAGTATGCACGAATTATAAACAAAAACTAAACAGCATGCATCTATGTACAAAATTTCTTTGAAATGTGAAGTTCTTCTTCTGATAGCGATAACAAAAGCTGAAAATTAGTGGATTTGATGTTCAGATTTTTAAAACGACTGTTTGTGAAGGAAACAATACATTCTTTTGTTAAATTTGCATATTCCTTTGAATTCACCTAACAGGGAGTTAAATTTTACGAAGACAAGTCATTGTCAATGACACGTCCCTGTTCTGTTCATATTTGAGTGACATATACATTCAAAGCAGATCATGACCGAAATCTTAGACCACTTTCAGTGGTCTGATCCGAAATGCACCTTCATATGTACAACACATTATACTAAATCATGACTGAGATCCGGTTCCGGAATTGTGAAAATATGTGATTTTGATGCATTTTCAGCCTTAAAATGGCCATCATTCAGCTATTGTTAAGCGGATCATAAAACAAATGCACATATCTATTTGTGACATGATGTACCATGTGTGTGTGAAGTTTGAACTTGATCAATCCAAGCATGTCTCAGATACGGATCCAGAACTGAATTCTTTAAAACAAAATGGCCGCCAGTTGGCAATTTCAAACCCGATCCAAAAAAAAAGACGTGCATCAAGGTCCTATTATGTTTAATGTATGTACCAAATTTGAACGAAATCCGTCCATGCATAACTGAGATCCGGGTCCGGAATGGTGAAAATGTGGATTTTGATGCATTTTCGGCCTTAAAATGGCCGCTATTCGGCTATCGTTAATCGGATCATGAAAAAAATACATGTGCATATGTCCATATAATGTGTGATGTATGAGTGAAGTTTGAACTTAATCGGTCCATGCATGTTCGAGATACAGGTGATCATGGATGCACACAGGGCAAAACGTAAGTCCCCGTTTTCGGACTACTTCCGAACGGGGACTAATAAAATCCAGTAAATAATTAAGGCTTATACAGCATTTAATTACCTTTTATTTTTTTGTTTATAGATACAATGTACATTAATGAATACATTCAGATACCTCAGGTTAAGACAAATATCATTTACATATCAAAGATTTACACATATTCACAAATTATTAAAAGAAAAATAGTTTGACATCATTTGATATACAATTACATATGAAATTACAGTTTGGTTATAAAACTTAAAAATGATAGATATTGCTCTGGTATAATTTGATCAGAAATTTAAACACTACTTTGTAAATTGACTTGCAGAATAATACGTAGCTTGTTCCCACAATGCAACATCACCCATTCTGTTCCACTAAAATTAAGCACGAACACTAAACTATTTACATATTCTAATTACAGGGTAAATGACATGTGACAGATGATATAATCAATCATAGACAGGATTTGTGAAAATTAACTACTATAAAAATCCCTTTCTGATTTCATGTTGTTCATCAATTTTTGCAATGCAGAGTTTTATGTCAGAATACAACTCTGCCGTAATAATAGTTTATTACTATAATGCAGAAAATATTTAAATGTTTAAATACTAATTTAACTGGCATTCTTTAACAGTAATTTTATGTAATCTTCGCACCCTACTGTGGTATATCAAATTCAATGTTCCCGAAATGATAGTGTTTGCGTGTTTATCGCTTATGTACTTGCGCATATTGCATGACCTGGCATCGAAAAACTGGAATGTAGGACAGAATTCTAATATTCCAAATTGACTTTTCAAATTTCTGTCCCTCCCTCACCCAATGCATTGTGGGTTATGCATACACAAATAGAATTACATCGCGTCTGTCAGTAATTCAGGAATTGCATTGGGCATGTGACGTTTATCTACCAATAAAAACATGGCATTTGAATGTATGATATGTGTGGCTAATAACAATGTTGACATTAAATGGGTGGGCAGTAAGGTAGCATGAAGTGATTTCAGCGAGAAAAAACAATTTGAAAATTTACATGCATTAAGACATACATTTTACAGAGAGCAAGCTACACCCAAAATTGCATCTAATTTAATCACACAAAACAATCAAAGAGTGACATCGGTTATAAAACTAAAATATTTGTTCTCAAAAATGATGCCTCTCCAGCAGGATCAACCCATCAACAAGTTCTCAAATTTAAGAGTACAGCCATAATATAACATCTATACAAGGAAATGAAAGATGAACACGAGGCTTCTTGAGGAAAACTGTCATCAAACCAATTGAGTGGATCAGTGAGAGATGTCACACCGTATGGAGAGCTGGAATGTTTGAAAAAATCTGTGAAACCATCAAACTCGAGTAACAACAAAACTTTGTGCATACACCAAATTGTCATTGGCTTCACAGCTGAAAGTTACAGTATAACAGCATAAGTATCGTATTACTTTTCATCTACAAGTGATTGTGATATCTTGATGAGCTGTGGTATTTACTTGTACCTCTTGAAGGAGATTTATTTTTTGTGACCACGTTTATCGTATATGCTCTATTAGTGACGCATATAAACTAAAAATCGCATTTGTTGTATACCGAATCATTAAAATCTTGTTCTTGCGTAAATTTGAATTGAGACATCACATCATTTTAGGCGTGTTCTCGTTTAAATTTAAACAACGAGACATTTCCATTTAGATTAAAATGAACAACAATGAAACAGTAATTATGCGACATAGGCTGGTTTCCAGTCCAACTCGCGTACACGAGAATGGTCCAAAATTTGTCATATAAATAACTCAATGCTATTCACGAGTAAGTCTGTGTAATACACATTTTCACTTTTCTATCTCCGTATGAACCAGTCATTTTCTCCTTCATTATACAGGTTCAGTTGATTGAGGTAACTAAGGTAACGCCAGGTACAAAATGTAATATAAATCTTCATTTTATAATTATGTTATAATTACCGGTATAAGTATTGTGATAAAAATAAATATTTTTATGGTAACAGGAGTGAAAATATTTTGAAAATACAGCGAGATCCAATAGACAAACCATGTAAGATAAACTTATATGTATGTACAGTCTAGAATATACAACATGTGATTTTGATATTCAGTAGAGATGAAAATCCCATGTTTTGCATGATTTCCATATGTGTCAATCACATATCACACAATTAGCATATCCTTATTTAATTAATCTTTTGTAATATATATATATACAAGAATAATTAAATCAATGACGTCCTCAAAATACTCATGGCTTACGAGTAAGACTAGGATAGGCTAATTTTCCATATCTACCGGTAGTGTAACCATCAATGTATATATCTTGCTGAAAATAGCAGTCAGCTGGAGGATCATTGCCTACTGAACTTTTAATATTTACAGGCTGTGGAAGATCTCTAAAATTCAATTGTGAAATTACCTAGCCTCTCTGGAAACATCAGCAGTGTAAAGTTGTAAAAATAATAAAATCAACAAAGAAAATCCAAACCAAATTTTCTATTAAAAAAAAAATGAATACTTCCAGTTGTTAAGAGAAAACAAAAAACAAACTTGTACACAATCAGAGTATGGTAATTTGGTAATCTTTCAATGGGTTGTTATTCCAATACTGGCATTTCTTCTAACTCGTGGCTTGTAATAGCAGTTTTCTTTTCCAAAGGCAACCGTGAATATCTTAAATGTAATACTGTGCCAGCCTCCTCTATCATTTCCAAGGCCTGAAAGTAAAATCGATAGCAGGATGAATGGCTGAACTAAAAAAACTACTTTTTGTTTTCGTCTTGCCAATAAACATAAAGATAAAAGCAACTGGCTATGTCTTGCCATGGTCTAAATAAGAGATATTAGAAAACAGCAGCCAGTAAGCATGCATTGTTTTTCTCATGTGGCAGGTGGCCTTTCAAACACGAAAATAAGATGATCCAGCAAGTTTCTTTAAAAAATTGTTTTCAATTTTTAAAAATTTTCATCTGTGTCGTTTTTACTGTGATTTTTGTATTGATAGCAGGAGATGGTTAAAGTATACTCCATCAGAATGCTGCGTTTTTAGTATTGTTTATTGATCTGTTTTTTTCTTTTTATCACAAGTTCTGAGGGGTTACTGTCGGTAGATGTATTTACAGAGGTTATATTTGTACGCCGTTATCGGTTGTAATTTAATGATGAATATAAAGTCATGACAAATATATTCATTTTTTATATTTAGTGTGGTAGACATGGAATTCAAGGTGTTAACTATCTATGCCTCATCAGCAAAATGCATTTCCCCTATCCAGAGACAGAAATTTTAAAGGGCACAACACTGAACTGGTCATAAATATTTTTGACAAAACAATGGTTTATTTTGAGAAAAATTACAAAAAATGAATATCTTTTATACCAATCAGTAAATGTATGAATTATTTACAGTGTCTACCTTCCAGAGCTGGAATCCCACTCACTATTTAATGTCTTTCATGCATATCAATTAGGTGATTTACATAATATTTCACTTCACGACATTGGCAATAAACATTATATGGTAAACCATGAGAGGTTTAACACAAATTTTACAGACAGACAAAAGCACTAACCTGGTCCAACATTTCTTTGGTGTGCGCTGCAGATAAACAAAATCTGGCCCGTGATTCAATAATGGTAGTGGCAGGAAATCCAACTACTACAACTCCAAGGTTTCTCTTTAAACACTCCCTTCCAAAAGCACTGAGAAATCATGGAAAAAGATAATATTAATCAAGCAATAGAAAACTAACATATTTCCTATTTCCACATAATGCAGCTCAATAAATTTTTTTTTTTATTTCACTTGTATTAGAAGTGCCCTTTTAAAACCATGCACCTCTTAATGATAATACCGTAATTACTAAACAAATAATTAGTTTTAAAGAAAATACATTCACAATTCAAATAAATTGAAGATTTAAGCTATTACAATTTTACTGAAATAAATATTTAGTAATTCCATATTGGAAACCATAGGATAATCACCAAAGGGAGTGTTAGAGTGCAATTGAGGACTTGTGCAGTTTTGATGTGCAGTCAAAAAGGTCGTAGTAAAATGGTTACCTAGCAACCTGACAGGCGACTGTTATGGGTAATTACGTCAGCCGCTTGAAAATAGAACAAAACTGCTACAACAACCATCATTATAGTGTTTATGTAGTTGCGTTCATTGAGTGAAAACCACTCATGAAAGCACATGTGGTGATGATAACTAAAGATAAGAACAACATAGGTGTGTTGCCTCATTGTGGATAACAGCATAAAAAAAACACCTTGATTAGATTCCATAGCACACCCAGTTTGATATTTTTACTGCACGTTCCTACTATTGGTAGTTAGTATATAAATGCTATAGTTGTATGTATTGGTGTCACCTATGGCTGCTAAGGCAGTAACAAAAATACTACATTTGTATATCGGTATACAACAGTGTGGGATGTATATGAAATAATCTAGTATCACAGATTAACGTGGTGGGATAATCGTGCAGCACATTGACTAATTTCATGTATTCAAATAAACATGTAACCTTGGAATCATATCACTGACGACTATGGTATAGTCTCCTATTTTATTGGCACCTGTATACCAATACACTGTACATTAAAATAAAAGATTTTTAAGATGAGGAGATGTCTATATACGGTGATGTGCGATAAAGACAAAATTTTTCGTGCTTGTCAATCAAACACTATTCTAACCATCGCATGGAATCGCAAAATACAACAAGAGTATCTTTGTATTCATCTTTATAATCAAGGATACTCGTAAAAAAGTCTGAAGCAGACACTAACTCGCTCTTTCACAGACCATAGACCCTACAATATTCAAGGATCTATGCGACTTGCTCAGCATATCTTGCATTTAGTGCGTCACTTCTGCAATTTACGCAAGATCTTTATTGCATATCGCACAACTTGCATGTCCTCATTTTATAAATCCTATAAAGAAACCTTATATGCTATTTGACTTTTAAAGGACGGTGATCAGTACACTATGTATGCATGAGATATGGGCCCCATCATAATAACAAAGACTTTGAGTGTTGACAGAGTAATGTCCGAGATGATCAAGTGACTCTAAAATGGTCAAACTCTGTATCATCTGTATTCATTGCTTGCGGGAAAATCATGTTCATCTACAGAACAAAACACTTAAATCTCACACATGCATAACCAACGAATCCCGTCCTTTAATATATACATGTAAAAGACTAATTACAGAAGACAATACAAATTTACAGCAGCTGCTTTGATATTAATTTGCATATTAATGGGATTAATGGTAACAAAGACTTCTGAATTCATTACTCAATATGAATACAGTAATCACAGGTAAACCATTAGAAACTCTAGGAGGATTATGGTAGGAAAGCAAATTTCTTTTTCACTTCATGTAACTTTTAAGTTTCATTTTTTTTTAATCAGGATGATGTCGCTGTAAACATTTTTTGTTGCTTTTCGATCTATCAAATGGTTTTTTTTCAAAAACAGTGATTTAAAAAAAAATCTTCCCGAAGATTTTGTTTTCAAATCTACCGGTACTACCCCATCTCCATTGTTTCTTATGCTCAAACAATACATGATTCCTGAATTGATAATGTTCGTGCGTTTAGGCAGAGTACATAACCTGAGGTCAACAAACTTGAAGGTAGGACAGAGTTCACCAATGTATCAAAGACGTAGCATCACATTACACTGCTCTTCCATGTTCCTAACTCGCAGTGCGAAAAAAAAAATC